GGATAGAATGATTGAGTTTTTGAAGTCTTGGAATCCAATATCGACTGAGTTTGGAGGGTCGTTGCGTTCATTCCGAAGGGGGCTGTTTATGTATGTATTATTAAAGTGATACTTCGAGATCGCATGTGAGGAGCTCAATAGGCGCACATCCAAGGTAGTTCGGCCGAGACCGACCTGCTCACACTCGTGAAGTCGATGGAGGAAGTCCTCATGCGCAAAGATTTCACTGTGGGTGCCTTTGTTGATATATTGAGAAATTTTTTAACCCTGTACTTTCGAAGAAATTGTCCTTCCTAGGAAAGCGAGATCGGCACAACCGCACGATTGCTGACCGACTGCACGATTAGTAAATATCGCAGATGAGTGGGTCCCGGGGGGTAGTGTAGAGTAAACATGGCACGCCGAGGGGAAGTTGTTCTCTCAAACATTTTTGGGATTATAGTACAACTATTATGACTAATGACTATTAGAGGAACTAACGAGTAAAGGATGCTGAGTAATGTTCAGCCGGATGATGCTCTAATTTTAGTTAGGCGTAAATTTTTGGATTCGCTGTAAACCCTAGTAAGATGAAACTCGTAAGACGCCACTCGACATTTCCTTCAGTTGGAGGATTCTCTTGAAATTTTTTTAAATTGCCAAGTATTCGGATTTGAATGGAAGCTGTTATAAGAGCGTAACATTGAAGATAGAACCCTGAAAGCACATGTATGTGGCTCTATAATGCTGTAGAGGGGCAACTGGTAAGGGTTGGGGCCTATCCTCTAAGGTTCTTTTTTGCTTTTGTACGCTTTGTATGTTTGGAGTATTTGGCCAGAGACGACTACTCTATTCAGAGGCTTCGAGCGAGTACAATAGCCATCAGTGGATACCACTTTGGCACTTAACGTCTTGCTTAATATAGTCCCCGTCTATATTGTAGGCAGGGCTGCTATAGCAACGCCTCCGGACAGACTTAGGAGCTCTGGGATATTAACTGACTCAGAATTTGGACACTGTAGAATTTTTTGTAGGCTTCAATAGCACGGATCACTGCGTGGCTAGCAATGAGATTTTTCTCCACTCATCTCTTCTCTTGAGATAAGTGGATGGGAGACAGTAATTAAAAGGATTACTTGATGAGTTTCTATTTGGATGGGCCTAAACTTGATGTCAGGGTCCGGGGCGGGAGTTTTCCCGCCAGTTCTCCATGAGTTCTAAGAGAACTCAATGGGCTTCTCACCTGAATGACGTCGGCGAAAGAGGTAAACATCTACTATGCGAAAAGAGGTAAACATCTGTGGCTATAAATTCCTCAGTCCCATCTACAGTGTGCTCAAAGCTAGGAGAGGAAAACACTAACCAGTATTCAATTGCGATTGATTGTGGTCAGTCAGACTTAAGAAGTCGTGGAAGGGATATATGGCTACTAGCCCATACTCACATTGCTGAAAATGGCATTGCGGATGAGTTGGTGAAAAAGGTAGCCTCAAGTCGGTATCACCTCGAAAAGAGGTAGGGTTGGAGCAACTCTGTCTCCATGTGAAACCTTTTCTGGACAGATCGATATGGTCTCAACTTGGTGAAACCTATGTAAAACCTTAAGGTCACTCTGGTCGAGATAAGACCGCCAGCGTTCAAGGGATTTTCTTGCGTTGAATAAGTCCTTTGAACAACGTAGGTAGTAAACGATTTTGAGGGAAAGCTTTTGCAATCCCGCCTCTATGTCTTCGAGCGACTTCCGATACGGCGAAAATTCGCCCAGAATACGAGCGTCTACAGAAAGAACTTCAGCCCTCCCATTCCCACAATACTGATGGTTACGTTCGTTTGGAGCCTGCATATCCCTCACTATGCTAAAGTGTTTTGGAAACTAAAGATCCAGACAACGGATAAAAAATTAGCCAGCTTACTTTTCCTTCTCTCAGAAGCACAGATGTTAGAGTAAAAAAAAGTCAAATCTGAATCTTAATTGGTTTTTAAATCCCAAGCTATCAACCATTTATTATCTACCCTACTCTTCTTTTCAGCCATGCAATGCGACCCCCACTGCGCTGAGTACCAAGCTTGCACGCCCGCCTGTGCCGTCGAGACCTGTGATAATTTCCTCGACCAGGGCATGGCCGAACGCATGTGCAATCAGGAGAACTGCCTTGAAGGCTGCTTTATTAAGCCCTGCGAAGAGGACAAGATCTATCTCAACGACACCTACAAAGAGTGTGTACCGAAGGCTGATTGCAAGCCAGTGTGCATGTTGCGCGACGGCAAGACCTACTATGAAGGTGATGTCACATATGCAGATGCTTGCGCTACGTGTCGCTGCTCTAAGAAAAAAGAAGTATGCAGCGGCGTGAAGTGTAGGGAGCCAACGACGACGGAGCGGCCAGTCAATTTGGTGGTCGATAGCACCACACAGCATCCAATGGGCACCGATACACAACCGAAGTGTGTGCGCGGTTGGACACGCTGGTTCGATAAGGACGCCGATACATCAGGCAAGCTTATACATCTAAACGATGAGGAAAAGCTGCCACGCTACGATCGCATGGAGAGCATTTATGGCACGTGTCAGAAGAAGTATATGAAAGAAGTTGAATGTCGCGTAGTGGATACTCACGAATCGCCCGACTATATGGATGAGAATGTGCGCTGCGATCTGCAGGAGGGGCTTGTTTGCCAAGGAAAATGTCACGATTATGAAATACGCGTCTTCTGTCAGTGCGATGAGGAGCCGGTGACGCCACCAACGCCAACTGAGCGTCCACAAATCGGACAGCCATGCGATTCGATGATTGCGGAATACAAGGAATATCCAGGAGACTGTCATAAATTCCTGCACTGTCAGCCAACTAATGACGGCAGTGGTTGGACGTACGTGGAGAAGACGTGCGGTGAATACATGATGTTCAATCCAACTGTGTATGTATGTGATCACATAGCGACCGTGCAGCAGATCAAACCAAGCTGTGGAAAGCCAATACCTGGCGCGGAGGTCGAAGTGCCAAGCGAATGCGCCGAGGGACAGGTGATGGTCGAGTGTGCCAATCAGTGTGAATTCACTTGCGACTTCTACGGTTCGGTGAGTATGCAGCAAGAAAGTTAATTTACAGCACTCCTGATTGTTGAGTTTTCACTGCCTTCTATAGGTTCTGCGCAAGCGTGGTCTTTGCAAGAAGGGCGAACACTGCAAACCTGGCTGTGTAGATAAGCAGCGACCGGATTGCTGGTCGCTGGGTAAGTACTGGCGGGATGAGGTAACTTGCGTGGAAATGGACGAGTGTCCGTGTATGGATAAATCGGAGAAGTACGTGCAGCCACATATGCCGGTCTTCGGCGAAGATGAGGTCTGTCAGTGCATAGACAATGCATACACTTGTGTGCCTAATAAACTGCCTGAGACGACCAAGCTGCGTAAGTATATTCGTAGCTAGTGAATGGGCGTACACTACCAACTTGATTTTTCTTTTGAGCAGCCTACTTCCTGAGCACTACACCTACCACAAAAGAACACGAGCCAGAGTTGCTGCCACCCACGCTTGCGCCACATTTGGAGTGCGAGCCGGAACGGTAGGTTTCATGATACAAATTAGGAGCTCTTAAACTGACATGTTTATCTCGTTATTATAGTTTCAAACCTCTGATACAAGGCGACGAACCACTGCTTGACAGCGCCTTCAATGCCAGTTCCAGCCTCAACCCCTATAGTACACCTTTTATGGCACGAATTCCTCAAAACCTGAAGAGCAGCATCGGTAGCTGGTCGCCGGGCATAGATGACCAGATGCAGTACTTGCAGATAAGCTTCCCCGAACCTGAGCCAGTATTTGGCGTCATCATGGCCGGTAGTCCGGATTTCGATAACTACGTCACGCTTTTCAAGGTAAGTAGTCTTAATCAACGATGTCTGCGTTTTGATTAATCTTTTCCTTTTTCTAGATACTCTACAGCCACGACGGCGAGTCCTATCACTATGTGGTGGATGAGTCCGATACACCGCAGAAGTTCAACGGTCCACTCGACTCACGTACGCCGCAACAGACGTTCTTCAACATACCCGTCGAAGCCAAGTCCTTACGCATCTACCCACTGAAATGGCATGGCCGTATTGCTATGCGGGTTGAGCTGCTTGGTTGCGGCGAACCAGGTACAACTACCACACCGGCAACCACAACTGAGTCCAAATTCGAAAAGCTCATTTTGACGACTACACCGCAACCGGTTATCTGGCAGGGTGAAGGCAAGTGTGTGGATCACATGGGTGTTGACAACGGTCAAATGCATCCGAAGCAGGTGAAGGCCAGCAGCATCTGGACACTGCCACAACCGGCCAAGAAGCCACGATTGATAGATCTGCTCAAGCTCTCCTCCCCTGTAGGCTGGCGACCTGTGGCCAACTCACCAAACGAATATGTGCAGGTGCGTGTTTGTGAAAAATATACGTAGGGTCTTGGATGCCTAATTGTCTTCTCCTTCCATAATAGTTCGACTTCTTGGCGCCCCGCAATATCTCTGGTTTCATCACGAAAGGTGGTCCAGATGGCTGGGTTACCAGCTTCAAGGTGATGTTCTCCAAGAATAAATTGATTTGGAACAAGGTGCTCTTCTTCGACGGTCAACCAGAACAATTTCGCGGAAATTATGATTCAAATAGCGAGGTGATGAACACTTTCCGCTCGCCTATACTGACGCAGTATTTCAAGATTGTGCCTTCCAATTGGGAGAAGAATATAAATATGCGCATAGAGCCTGTAGGATGTTTCGAGACTTACTGTGAGTGACTAGCTTATATATTTCAAATATGCTTTAATCTAAGATACTTTCTTCCAGTGGAAGTTAAGGAGGAGGAACCCGAGGTTGAAAGCGAGCTGCCGAAATGCCACGCCTGCGATGGCGTTCAAGGCGCTACAAGACCAGATGGTGTTTGTAAATGCAAGAACGGTTTATTCTGGGATGGTCAGAACTGTGTGCAAAGTAATCTGTGTCCCTGCGTTGAAGAATATAGCACGTGAGTTTCCTTACCTAGCTAAATAATCAACCGCTCCCAGATTTATGTTTTAAATCCTTATACGTAGTTACCCCATCGGCACCAAGTACGAGAATAAGCAGTGCGAGGAGTGTGTTTGCGTTTTGGGTGGCCATTCTAACTGCAAGCCCAAAAAGTGTCCGCCATGCGTGGAGACTAACTTACGCTCCTTGGTCACGCCAGATTGCTTCTGCAAATGTGAACCTTGTCCAAAATATCAGCGCATCTGTCCGTCAAGTGGTGACTGCATACCCGAGCTGTTATGGTGTAATGGCGTGCAAGATTGCGCGGATGATGAGGATGATTCTTGTGAGAAGAAGTTTGAAGTGACGCCGCAACCAATTGTTAATAAGAATGAAAGTGAGTATGGCTTGGGGCTGGGAATAGTTTATACGAATGGTAGATGTAGCAAAAAATTCGTGACATTCGTTAATAATACCGATAACGAACACTTGCTTAGGATCTGTCGATGGGAACAGTTTTTTAATGCAGTATACATATATAGCAATATTCCAAATTCAAAAGTAAAATGAAAATTTTAGTTAAGCATAAGGTGAGTATTTTTTCAATAATGGGAACAGTTTTTTCAATTAAAGTGAGACTTGGAAAAGTGCCCTTGCTGTCTAAAAAAGCATAAGTGACTGTTAATGCGCTTACTACCTTGGCCTTGTCAGTGGGAATAGTTGTCATCATAGGCTAGGAAACGAAAATGTATAAACCTTGAGGAAATACTGATAAGAATGAACGTAGGCACTCTTGGTTCAGTGGCAACGGTTTCTACAAACTTTGTATAGGAAAAGTAATAGTTTATCTCAAGTATTTTGAAGAAAGTATTATCGGAACTATATTCTTATGTGCTAATTTTGTTATAAAATAAAATAAGTCATTATTTTTTGGAAAAAAGTAGGACCAGGGTTAAATCAAAATTAAGTTTTGTTAACAACAAAATAATTGAGGTTTTTTCATTAATCGAGAAATTCCGGCCAATTTAGAAACGAATTTTAGGTCGGAACAGTTTGAAGGTTTTTCGCTGTACAGAAAAAGTGTTAGGTTCTCCTTATTTGATCTTAATATAATTCAACATTCAAAATATAAAAAGTAAACACGATTTTTTTTGGATGGGAATCGTTAGAAAAATATACTGTATGAACGGAAATTTTTTTTTAAAAGTTCGATACAAAAACTAAATTCATAAGTGTGCATATTTGGGTAAGAACAGTTAGACAAGTATTCGTAAAGGCAATATAACATATTTTTTGAGTTATTTTTTGTTGAACTTCATACAACATATCTCTTTCATACAGCCGTCATCATCAAGTGCCCAGAACCCGAATGTCCACCTAATATGAAGATTAAGGTTTTTGAGAAGAAACAGCGTAAAATGTCGCAGATGTTCGCCAAGTCGTGAGTAAAACTAGAGGATTTTTACTCGAAGACAGTTTAACTAATTTTCTATGCTTTCCTAATATTAGTTTCACCGACATGGAAGCCATGGGCAGCAATATGTTCAAAGTGACTAAGACCAAAGTGTTGGTAAGCGAAACTGAAGAATTCCTTATGATGCCAACAGAAGAAGTAGCCGGCGTGGAGGAGGAAGAGTGTGCCGAATTCACTTGTGTGCCAATACCCACAAAAGTGGTGCAGAAGAATGAAACGGTTGTTTGTATGGAGCCTAAGTGCCCAGAGAACTATGAAATAGAATTGGATATGTCCAATGCTAAGCCGGGACAATGCAGCAAGTATGCATGCGTACTGAAGCCCACCAAAGATGATGTGTGTGAAATAAGTGGCAAATTCTTCACAACCTTTGATGGAACTGAGTTCAAATATGACACTTGTAGCCATATACTTGCGCGGGATATCAAGAATTCCAATTGGGTGATAACTGGTGAGTGTATTAAATGTGACTGAAAGGAACGGAAAAGGGATGGTAGAGAGGACAGCGGCTAAAATGGAAGTAAAAAAAGACGACCAGCATCTATGATTCTCCAAAGAGCTGAGTTTCTTAGTCTTTTGAAATCCATCAGGAGAGTAGTTCATATCTTTCAATCTATTTCAGGAAAATTGCTCCCAAAAACTGACTTTCGCCTCTTTTCTTAGAGTTCTCTCTTCTAACTTTATGTCTCACTCTTCATTTCAGTCCACCTCCTCTGCGAAGATGAATCACGCAAGGTTTGCCATAAAATGGTCACCATTAAGGACATCGAATCAGCGGCCATACTAACGATTATGCCTAATATGAAATTGAATTTCAATGGCTTCGACTACACCGTGTCGCAGCTTATGAATTCACCCGTCTGCAAGGCGGCCTTTGTTATCTCTCAGCCGGGCAGCACTGTGTTGGTGGTTTCGCGCAAACATGGCTATTGGTTACTTTACGATGACATCGGTTACATCAAGATTGGCATTTCGTCCAAGTATTTACGCACCGTTGATGGTCTGTGTGGCTACTATGATGGCATAGCAAACAATGACAAACGCACACCAGATGGCAGTCTAATGCAGAACACAGTGAAGTTTGGCGACAGCTGGTTCGACAAAAAGATACCGAAGGAAATGTGCTACCCACAAGCGTGTCCATTTGAGTTGCAGAAGAAGGCACTAGCGCTATGCAATGCCATTAAGTAAGTATGCGGGGGAGGGTGGTGGTGCTATGGCAAGAAGTAATTGTAGTTTAAAATACAGTTGTTGTAGCTATGTATGTGTATGTGCGTTCAAAGTGCGCTGCTGAATTTTGTGTAGTAATGTCATGTAATTTTGCTTTGCCCCCGGCAGGCATCCGGTGTTCGTTAAGTGCAACAAAGCGGTCAACTACAAACAATTCGTCAGCAAATGCATGGAGACCACTTGTGAGTGCCTGCGGGCACATCCGGGCGAGGACAACACTTGCAAATGCAATGCACTGCAGGACTTTGTTGCCAAGTGTTTGACAATTAATCCCAATATACAATTGAATTTGTGGCGTGCGGTGCAACAGTGTGGTAAGTGGTTAGCGAAGTAGATTTTTATCAAAAAGGTGAATTTTTTCGGTTGAGAAAAAGTGGAACTAGAATGTATTTATGTGGATGTGATATGAAAGGGGGTTTATATTAGGGCTGGTAGTTCTATCCGAATTTTATGAAAATCCGCATAACTCGATTTAAAATCCGAATATCCGGATAAAAAAATGAATGTATACTAACCGGCTATCCGGATATGCCGACGGCAAAATTAACGAACATTCACCGGACATCTGGTGGATTTATTCGTATGCACGAATACCCCGATTACCGAATACACGGCTAGTTTATACTGATTTAAATCCGAATAGCCGCAGTTTCTACCTGGAGTTTTTGAATATCTGAATAATTGGGATAGCGAATATCTAATTTAAAATCCGAATATGCAGATAAAAAAATTAACGAATATTAACCGGATAACTGAAAGAAAAAATAAAAGATTAACGGTGGGTATCCGAATATTAACCGGATTACAAAATATAATGGATATTAACCGGATAAGGGGATTTTATCCGTACACACGAATATCCGAACGTTTGCCCGAATACACGGATAGTCCCCGCCCTATTTTATACTTGCCCGAATACAGCCGCTATATTGATTATCCTTCTTGAAGATCTCGCTTTTTGTTATCGGCTCTGATTTAGTTTGCATTCTCATTGCAATTTTTTTCTCTTCCTAGTTATTATTCTCATTTTAACTCTTATTCTCAGTCTTATTTTAAATATTTATTATCAAACTCATTCTCACTCCTCTCTCTTACTGTCACTGTCATTTTCATTCCCATTCTCATTTCCAATTTTATTCAGATTTTTTCACAACCACATTGCCGTTCCCCCTTCTCATTTATTATGTCATTATCCTCAGTCCCAATCCTCTCGCTTACTGCCATCCTGATTTTCATTCCCATTCTTAATCTCATTCCCATTCAAATTTTGTATGCCAATCCCATTCTCATTCTTATTACCACTTTAAGTTTCATTCCCCCTCTATATTCTATTCCCACTCATTATGCCACTGTAAATCTCTCTACTATTCACACTGGTATTCTTATTTCCATTCTCATTCCCATTCCCATTCCCATTTCAATTCCTATTCTCATTCCCTTTCTCATACTCATTCTCATTCTCATTCTCATTCTCATTCTCATAATCATTGTCATTGTCATTGTTATTGTCATTCTCATTCTCATTCTCATTCTCATTGTCACTGTCATAGTCATTGTCATTGTCATTCTCATTCTCATTCTTATTCTCATTCTCATTCTTATTCTCATTCTCATTCTCATTCTCATTCTCATTCTCATTCTC